AAAGCACAAACACCTCGAAAATTTACAAGATAACCGCTGCATTCAATTGGTACTTTACATATACCAACGATTTTTTTATCAAACGAATTAAATAGAACCCGTATACTATACGATACACATTTTTCAAATGGCTTTAATTACGTGTGTAAAAAAAATATTTCTGATATAAAGTCATTGTTTCTGCCGCTCGACCAAAGCAAAATGAACCGTATTAGTACGGGAAAAATTTTAATTCGAACTGAGGTAGCGTCGACTCTTAACCCTTTGACCGCCGTGGACGCTTTAAAGCGTCTTACATTAACTTGGCTGGTACGCCAATGACGCCTCAACGCGTCAATGAGACCCTTTAATTTTCAGTTGAAATTAACAAATAAATATTAAGATATTCCTTCTGTTCGAGTTCTTAGGTTTTCGCGATTGTTACACATAGGAAATGAAACTATTTTTCCGGATTTAAATCGGTCCCATGGTCACGTCAACCGTGACCATGGGACCTGTAAAGGGCCCGGAACGTCGGTTTGTTTGAAAAAACAAATATACGCGATTTAAATCCGGAAAAATAGTTTCATTTCCTATGTACTCCTTCTGTTATTTGTATATTCTAGTTAAGTATAGATTCACAGTTGCATATTATGTTCAGTCATGTTCTTTGACTTAGAAGAATTGGGATAAGGTGGAAATTCATAACATATCACATCACTATAATATACAGGCGAGCGTTTAAGGCACGTTTACTACGTTAACTAGTTTTTGTCAGTGGCGGTTAAAAAGTTAACAGACGAGCGTGTATGAAAGCATAGATGCGTGTTGATGAAGAGAAAGTTGTGTGTCAGGATCGTAGCAAGTGGAAGGCTGCAATCACCGTCTACCCCGAAAGGAAAAGGGCGTGATGTGCATGTATATAATTCCGAGATTTTTAAGAGTGGTATGGATGTACACAATTTTCCACTAGATTTACATCACTCTATTATGCATGGGGCTGTGACAACCCTATACAAGACAATATGTGTGTGGTAGATAACATATCGTGTTATTTATTTTTGTATTGTGACCGTAATACCACAATAAATGCCATGATAAATGTGGTTCAAGGTACCAAGTTTTCTTCTTTGGGCAAGGCATTATATACATTATTTAAATAATGACGAACAAAAACTGTTCAAGCAACTCATTTCCAACCATTGATGGTGAATTTATGAAAAAATGCTTGCGTAGGTATTGCGCTCACAACTATATACCAACAATTTTACTTGTTGTTTTTTTTTCAAACAAATCAACATTTCTGGCACTTTATCAGTCCCAAGGTCATGCCAAACTGAGATGTTTAAGATATCAACGTTTAATATTAACGCAAACTCACTATTCTGCATTATGATTACAAAAGTTGTTTAACGCGTGTGATGACATCTAGTGGTACATAAAATAACATCGATGGAGCAGCGGCGCTCATTGGAGGTTAACATTTATTTATTTTGTCCCAAGTTACATAGAACTTATTATAGACAGGAAACACAATAGAGAAACGAGAACATTATCTTTTTCGCTTAACCCATCAAACTAATGTGAAAATTAAATGAAATGAAACATGACATACATTAAAATCTTTTATTTTAGCCGACACATAACACAGCCTATTTTATTTTTATCACACTGTTAGATATTTTTACATTTCAAATGTTGGTGGTAATGCCTTAACCTAAGAGAGGATTTTATGACCTTCACGCCTTTCTCTGTTGTATATTCTTTTCTCAGATTTTGATTCATCAATTTGCACTAACTATTATGGGTTCTCTGACTTTGAAACCATTTAATGTTCCAGCTCATATATTATTATTGTTTCACGGCAGTAAACCTGTACCAACCAGTAATTATTTTTGTTGTTAATATAGTTTCACTTTCATAGAAAGTTTCCAGTTGAAATGGTTGACGTCAAGTTGCGGACACCAGCCCATTACACCAAATAAAAAGTAGTATACTAACATTAGTATATTTTCATTCTCAACCTCTTTCTTCTTTGCTCCAGGTTCTGTTTTTGACCGGATAGGGTTTTGCTGCACCTGCAATAGGAGTAACACATATAATTCACGTCACAACCAAATGTACAAGCAAACATCACCGCCATCTGCCACATCATGTTCAAGCAGCCAAAGTGAAGAGATGAATAGTTTTTGAGATATTTAACTTTTTACATTATATTCATACAATCCTGTCTCATATGGGTAGGTATACCCATATGAGACAGGATAAGGAAATAATGTACCAGATAAGTAAATAGTAAACAATAGTTTATTAAAGTTTCAGTGGCAGTAGAGCTCCTTGAGAAAGAGTTCGTACAGGGAAGTATTGCCACCTTACCTATTTCTGCCGCCAAGAAATAATGTGAACATTGGAAGGATAAGGGTGCTGGTGAAATTACAGGCACATGGGACTTGTCAACTTATGTCTCAGAGTGACAGTGGGAGTGCCCCTCAGTTCTTTGCAATTTAAAGCTCTGAGTGGCACTGAAACTGTTATGGACAGGTGTGTAGCTTGCCACCAGGCACACGACTTCTTCATCCCGTCGCATGATATTATAAAAAAATACTGCTAATTATTTTGGTGTTACGTATTCTAAAGTTGAACCAAATATTTAACCTAGCTTGTGAGGGAATAAATAGGACTTAATGAGCACTTCAATTAAACATAATATTTACCTGAAAACTGATGTCAATGGGGTCTTCCGTGATGTGAGCACTTTTGAATTACAATAAAACCTTCGTCTTCAAACAACTGAATACATTGGTCTATAGTCCATTTGTTTAGGTACTTAACTAAATGTAAACAATCTTGATACATCTTTTTATTGAAACATTTACTTTACAAATCAATAGGTATAAAAATAGGCATGCAATTTCATATAAAGCTAAGTACTTATTTGTATTTTGTATTTGAAAGAAAGTAAAAATCATTTTATAAATGTATATTTCATTAAATAAACATCTCAAGATTGTTTACATTTAGTCAAGTACCTAAACGAATTGACTATAGAGTGCCCCAGTTCAGTAAACACCAGCCGTAAGTTAATATTTTAATTTTAACTCCCAACTCGTCACAGTTGAACCTGTTTATACTTTAAACACAGAATTACTTTACTACTTATAAGACCGCTTGTTGTACCTGTCCTGTTTTACGCCTTTTGTTTTTATATTTGAGTGCAGTAAATAGTATTTGTATTCTACCGTTTTTAACCTCTTTCATTAAACAATATAATACTTTTTAAAATAAATAATAGCGGCAAACAGAAGTCAGCTGACTCGTATTGGAGATAGTTAAATTATTTTCAAGAAATATTGTATGCTACTTACCGTGTTATTCCTGTTACGGGACTTGTCTTAAAGAATCACGGATTTAAATAAACCAAAAAGCACAACTTCAACCAAAATTCATGAAATTTACTAAAATAACAACTCACGACGAAAGGCGATAACAAAACAAAGACTAGAGTTGTGGAGAGTTTAAAAACATGATTTAAACACTGAACTCAGTGTAGTAGTCAGTAATGAATCGATCTTTTTTATGATCGTGATTTTTTATTCAAATCGATTTTATTATTTTTATTGACGGTTTAAAATGGCTGCCTTTTAAGATTTCGCAAGTATCGAGTTTTCCGCTTATATAGTCATTAAAATTATATTGTAAAAATAATATAAATAATTTATGGCAGTTCTCTTATAATAAGTACCTACCTTTTTTGCTACTATCTTTTATATTTCATTAAGCATTCTGAACAATAATGTTAAGAAACTAGTCAACTTGTCAACAAGAAGTTTTTTGAAATTGATATATTTATTTATTTGAATTAATAGAATAATAATTAGAACTCGGAGTGTACTTTTCATTAATAGCCTAAAATCACATATCAATATTCAGTAATATAAAAAAGTAATGCATAATACTTTGTAAAGTAATTATTATTATATTGGGTGCCAACACTCTGACAACAACATCATCAACAAAACGCAATATAGTAAACGAAATTTGACAGTTCATACTTACTGATTTTGTTATCTATAGACAGTCGCTTAGTTATTTCAGGTTATTTGATAGAGTTGAATGTGCATTAAATTTCCGTTTAACTCAATTCTTTACTGGAATTGCAATAAACTGTGCAAAAAATAAAGTTAATAATATGTATTAATACAGTTGATAATAAAAAAAAATATGAAAATAAAATTTAAATTTCATATAGACACTTTAAATAAAGTCATGTAAGTTAAACAACAAATAAACCAACAATTATGAACAATTGTTTCATTAGTTTATTCATTTGAAATGTTACGTTTCTGAAAGTGCTTACTTAAATTATGACTTTGAATTACGCTTTTGGGTTTTCCATTTTTCTTGTTATTTTTGTTGGTCTGAATGTATATTTTTTCTATACCTTGAATACTGTAGGAAGAAGACCTGCAAATATCAATGTGCCTGATGTTAAACCCGATTTCGGGCCAAATGTATATAAAGATATTTATCATTATCTCAACTATTTACACAATCAGTATAAGAACAAAAATCCTGAATTTGCTACCGTGCAAACAGATCTTTTGCGTTCCTTCAATGCTTCAAACAATAATATCAACGTAAAGGATATTTGGTTAGACACGCAACAGGTAAGGAAATGTACTAAGAAAACTAATTTATCAATCATTTTTTTGGTCAATAATTTAATCTTTAACATTTTTATAGTGGTCCAGTGAGGAGTCACTTTTCCCCCAACAGAATGGAGCAGCTGGAAAAATACTTCAAGCAATGCGCACATCCCAGATAGTCCTTGTGGATAATGCGCCAAAAGGCACCCAACTGAAGTTATTACTTGTATTAGAGGTAACATTTCACAATATGTTGAACTGATCAGTTCATTTATAAATTGCCAATGCCAATGACCTACATTACATATTATTGGCACAGTTAAATTTTAAATTGACACCACCTACATAATTGCCTGTTAAACGTTTAAAGAAATGGGATCGTACCTGAAAATGTGCCAATGTTTTTATATCAACCATGGTATAAATATACAGTAGCTTTACAATTATTAAAATGACGTATTTTGTATTTCAGGGAAATCAAAAACTGTACTTTAAGCCAAAACGATACAAGCTGAGCACTGTGATAAATGGTAACATTTATGCTGGTTTTGACCGGTATAATTCTGAAGTATTTGCCTATTATTTAGCTACGGTAATGAATTTCAAATGGATTGCGCCATCGGTTATTAGAAAAATCAATCTTTATCAAGAAATTATACCTGTAGCAAGTTTGGGACTAAAAAAAACAACGGTGAAGTATGGTAAGAATGACATACAATATTGCCTGTAATTATAATTTGTAATATACAAATTACTAATGAGAAACTCTAAGCTGGATTGATTATATGTAATGAATAATTATAATTCTTTATCAAGCAACTTAATTTGCTATATACGAAAATTTCTTTGTCATCAGATACTTTCACAATTGTTATATTTTTGCAGGCAACGGCACAGTGTGCATTTATGGAAAATGCTTCTATTGCCGTAAAAACGAAACTGTTTGTCCAGACGAAAAAGGAGATATTGAAGGAGCAGCTATACTTTATTTGGACAAATCATTTCAAATTCATCAGTCTCCATGGCGACGTTCTTATAATAGTAAAAAAATGGAATGGGAAACAGACAATGACTTTTGTAAGTAAGTAACGAAATATATGCATATTTTAATAATACTTGCAATTGAAGTGGAGATTTGTAATTAGCACTTTCACCTGTTATTTAACATGCGTATATTTATTGTTAAAATTTTGCTGTAAATCTTCCAAAATAAATAAAGAAATGTAAAACCTGAAAGTTTAAGTCCATAAAAGTATAATACAATGTACTATCATATATTATCAATTTAACAATCCAAGAATTTAAAATACAACATGTAGATAATGATAGTATAATGATGTGATATGTAGAGATAAAATATCACTGAATTTTCAACTAGACATATGTTAATGTTTCATTGCATGAATCATAATATTCGTAATGATTTACTTAATTTCAGAAAATTGGTCAATGGACTAAGTACAACAAGAATTCTGAATTTAGTGGATATAGCTATATTTGATTTTTTAATTCAAAATGGAGATCGACATCGATATGAAGTATATAAAAATAAAATCCTCTTCATGGACAATGGAAAGGGCTTAGGAAACCCTACAGTGGATGAGTTAGATATTTTAGCGCCACTTTATCAATGCTGCATGTAAGTTTTGAATGTAACATAACCAAAGTACTTTTTCTTTTTATCGTGTCGATGCTTCTTTTATTTTAAGCCTTTATTGACTTTGAATAATATGTTGCCACCTCGACTGCGTTATCTGTGGCCACATAGAGATCTTTCCTCGTGCAGATATTAGGGTACGATGGTCACACGAACAACTGCTGCATGGACTATTGAGCACCGCAAAATATTAAAAAAAAACTAAATTGTAAAGCTTTATAAAAATTGTAAAATAATTTAGGCTGTTTCCAATTCAAACTCGAAATAAATGAGGTCGATAATAACGACGTTACCATTGTAATTTCTGTAAATTTTGCCCCTGCATCCAAGACACAGAACATCTGTGGGTTAACTATACCTACGCAGAAGGCACTCGGCGCCCTGCGCGTTCAATATAATAACTGTTTCAGGATGCTGTAGGGACTACCGCGACATTGTAGCGTCAATGTTTGCTCAAGCGGGAGTAGACGACGTTTTTGCTGTGATACGAAAAAAGACGGCGTTACTACTCTCTAGACTGCGTTCTAGTCCAAACGGCATCCTGAAAACGTTTGCGGTTCTAGTGAGGTGATGGGTTAATCGGCGGCGCCTCGAGCGAAATAATGCGTGTTTTTATGTTTGTCTCTGTGTTTACTAACAATAGTCATAAGTTTAAAAATGTCTGTATTTATTAACAAGTTGGTCTTGGATGCCAAATAAATTATTTATTTATTATTATTATTATTAATATAATCCTCAAAACTTTTTTTCAGGATATCAATGTCTACGTGGAAACATCTAAAAATGCTTACTGGTGGAAGTTTAACTGAAACTATTAAACTTTTATCTTCTTTCCAAGGAAATGTTCTTGCTACTGAAGATCATTTTAAGGCAGTAGAAAGAAGGCTGCTAAAAGTTTTCGCCACTGTTCAATATTGCATCGGTAAACATGGAAGTGCCAAAGTTTTCAAAGATGATCTTTAAAACGAATTAGATGCTTTATTTATTCTTGTTTTTATTATTACTGTTTGCAGAATTTGTTGTTTAACTATTGTGTAACTGTTTAGCTGTTGTAAGCTGAACACGTAATAAAAATCATATTATATTGAAATGTATTTCAGTCACTTGGAAAAATAAGAATACTTTGCGCATGAAATAATCAACATTCATGGAATAAAATTTTAAAATTAAGCTGATCAATTTGTGGTTGTCATTGAACCTTCAAAATTCATGACCATTAATGTGATGTCACACAATGATCTATAATAATGAATCAATCTTTTAAAATTAGAATTGGTCTACACCTCTATTTATTTCCAATGTTATGTCAAAAAAAGGCGGGTTTTTGTAGTTACAGTTTTTCACGAATTAATTTTTAGTTTTAAGTATTAATACTTTAATTTATTTATTTGCATATTATTACGTTTTAAGTTTCTTAATCCTTTCTTGCTTGTTTAAGCTTATTTTTTTCCATCCTTTAAGGTTTAAGCCGTGGAGCTCCCTCTACGGTTTAAGCTGATGGCTCTATAGCCAATGCTCAACGAATAAATAAATAAATACAATGTTATGTCAAAATATCTTTTTTTTTTCACAAGAAAAAGTTTTGGCTATGAAACCATCATCAGTTTGTAACACTATCGAATATTGTAGTGTTGTCCTTTTAGTCACGTTGCGCGATGCAACCTATTTTTAACAACGATATCTGTCAAGTTTTTGATTTTTAATATTATTTATAATTTCTTTCCTAATTTGACCAATCATATACCACGTCACAAAAATATACAAAAATAAAATAAATTCGCTAACGTGACGGTACCTATAAATATTAATGACTAACGGTCTTATGAGGGAGCATGCCAAAAAAGTTTTGTCGTTGGCTCCGCCCACATTTGTGAGACAAATATATGCCTGAAGTTCGCGTGACATGCGACAGGAGATGTTGAATTTTGCGCATTAAAAGTACCAAATTCGTTTTAGCGGAATAACTCTAAAACTAAAGGGATTAAAAGAAAATCCGTAGTGACAGTTCTCGATCATGCATAAATATAATTAATTATCTAATTTTTGTCCTAATAACCTGTAGCATTTCGGGGATGAATCGAAAAAATGTGAAAATTAGAGGTCATTTCGTGATTTTTATCTATCGAGGAAACTTTATTGTTTTATGTTTCTGATTACTGTATATGCTTGAATATATCGTGCAGTTACTCATACAATATTTTATTTTTAACTTTAAAGTGGATATACCCCTCTAAAATCAAATCGAAGATTAGGAATTTTTCCTCTGCTCCCTCTTATGTTAACATTTTGAAATAGATTCGGTAATACATATAAAAGGGAGTAACAAAGTGCCCATTTTAGATTTCGCGTATATCTTTTATAGTTTTCGCTAAAACAGGTACAAGATGGCGGTTTTGTGGGCACACTCAGTACATACATTTTTATTTAAATTATATGAAATTTTTAGTTTTTTGTTCCACTTAACAGTGGCTTTTTGCAACTTTTTTGGCAACTTTTTGAAGCTGATGGCTTTATAGCCCATATTTATTATTATTGTAAGTTATTTATACATATATAATTTTGGTCGGTAGGTCGACAAACATTGCGGGTTTTTGTAGTTACTTACACAAAAGATTTTTTTTATCTTAAGCATGTACATACTTACATAAGTTAGTTACGATTTGAGTTTCTTGTTTGGTATATGTATTTTTAAGTTGATGGCTTGTAGGCAATGCGTAATAAATAAATAATAATCATAATTAGTACACGGAAATAATTTATTTAGATTTCTGTGGCTACGTCTAACAAACTCATTAGTAGGCACCTATTAACAATGTGATGGTTTTTTAAAGTAAGTTTTTCTCTCAAAATAGCGTAACAGTATACTTAAGTCCGGTTTTACTAAGTAGGTACCTAAGTTTATTATTGTATTTATTTATTTTACTTCAAAATTGAGAACCTCTTTATTTCCTAAGTAAGCAAATTACACTTGAAATTGTTGGTCGGTGTTGATGTATGAAACGGACTTCATTCTTTTTATTGTCTGCAAAACAACTGACTGTAAAGTACAGGGCAAATAGTTCACTAAGAAGACTTCTATAATTTTACAATAGAGTTGATAATCGTATACATTTAAATCATTGATTAGAGGGGTGACGGGTTTAACAAGGGGCGAGTTGTACAGGGTCGAAGTACGGCGCGGTGGAACGTCATTTGGGGCTACATTTCAAGTGGCAGAATTTTCCGTTACAGTCGTATTTCCTCTTAAAATTGTTCCGGTATTGTGTAGAGTTCGTTGTGTATGTATACCTGTGTATGTATGTAGGTATTAGAAACCAGATGACGATTTGTGCTGTGTAGTTAGGACATTTTCACACGACTGAGAAACGGTTGAACCTACACAGTCCAACATTTAAAATGCTACCTCGATTTAAATATTTATTGTGGGGCCTGTATCTTGAAATACAGCCTGCGAGCCTATTACCTATCAGTCTTCCACAATATTCTTACTATAGGTAGTGGTAGTACTTACGTTGCTATGATTACAACAAACTAGTATATTCGATCTGCGTAACCGATCCAATGTATGGCTGTTTGATGACACATAGGTAATGATGAAAATAAAAATTATTAATTTTAGTTTTAACATTTTATGTAATACTTTTGGTCTGGATATTTTCAATACGAGTGTAATTTCGGCAATAAGGGCACTGCGTGGGCACTTCTTTGACTCTTAGTGAGGCTTACAACTTCTGTGGTTTTTCTTTTTTTATGTTTTATATAATAAGTCTGGTAAATTGTGCACCCAGATTTTTCTTATATATTTTTTTGTGTAATTGGCTCTCAGTTGTCACTATTATTGTTAATCTTTCTTTAAATAAATAAATAAAGATAGGGCGCATACTTCCTGAGTGGTGCCCTGTGTTAAAGGACTAGAAGCTGCGGCGCCGCGTCACCGCGCCGATGCCGCACCGCGTCGCTCGATACCGTGCGGCGCGCGCGGGCCGCGCGGCGACAAACTCAGTACATACGCCGGCCGCCTGCCGACAAACACACCCCATCTAACACACCCCCGACGCACTACCACTGCCACTTTATACTTTTCCACAGCACAAAATCAACATTTTCGATTTATCTAGTTCCCGAATTCGTTAAATACCTTGTAAGTTTTGCGACAATTAACAGTTTTCCTAAAGTCACAACTTACAATACAAACAGTTAATGAATTAGGTACTTAGTGTCTAGTGCGTATTACGTTTTAGAACTTCGATTTCGCAAAATAATTACAAAGTTTCGCGCGCCGCGCGAAGTTTTGATTGGTGGCTCGCGACAGAGAGAATTACGAAGCGAACAATGAACGAGATCGATTTGATCAAGGAGGTGGAAAAGAGGCCGATACTGTATGACAAGTCGGTGAGCGGGTTCAACAAAACAAAGCTGCGTGACGACGCCTGGAAAGAAGTGCAGGAGGTGCTTCATGTTTCAGGTAAGTTTTGAAGTACAAAATGACCAGTATTACGAGACCTGTGGACTTCAGCGCAGTGGCATCCCCGTGGTACATTTATACCTGACACTAGTTATTGTTCTCGAAGCAGAGGCCGAATGTAAGAAGCGCTGGCGTTCTTTGCGGGACTCATTCATCAAGCTGCAGCGCACGCACGGCGGGCGCACGCGCTGGCCCTACCACTACGCCATGAAGTTTCTACTGCCCCACGTTGAGCCCAAAGAAAGGTACATAGGCATAGATGACTTAATAGTTACTACGTAATAGATACATCACGCTCATACAAAATACCTACTAAATTTGACTCATGACACCAGGCGCTCACTATGAGGAAAAAGAAACTTAAGCACACGCACAGAGAGGTGAACATAACGTTGCCCGCCGTATGCAATCGTGCGGAACCGATTACTCAAATGAAAGACTTGTATGAGCGCTTGTGCTCACGTCGGTACACTCAGCGGTAGACACTTATCGCGTACCCTTGAGCGAATGACGGAGCCTTGACCTAGGTAACGTCACCACCCTCATACAAATTTTAAGTACATATTATACAATGTTAGCTGTAACTGTAGTTAACCCTCTGACCTTGTCACTATAGTAACCACTCATACATGTAAAAATTTTAGTAAGTGTAATTAGGTAAGATACATGAGTATGTCGAGTTTTTGACTTTGGACTTTTGAAGCTAGATTTAAATCTTAATTGCCAAGTAAATCATTGCATGTATTTTTTATGTTAACAAGTGACGGGAAGAACAAGCCGTGGGTCTGGTGGTAAGCGATACGCCTGTCCATAACAGTTACAGTGCCACTCAGAGCTTTAAATCGCAAAGATTTGAGGGGCACTAGCCACTTCACTCGTCATCCTGATACATAACTTGACAAGTCCGATATGTCTGTAATTTCACCAGCACCCTTACCCTTGGAAACCGGAACGCAGTAATGCTCACATTACTGCTTGGCGGCAGAAATAGGTAAGGTGGCAGTACTTCCTTGGACGATCTCTTTCACAAGGAGCTTCTTAAAAAGATCGTTTTCAATTAGAACTTCAACTGTATTTTTCGTGTTCCCAGTGCGTCCAAGCGCGAAGCCGAGGACTCGGACCCCGATCTGACGTTGTCATCGTTCACAGAATCGAAATTCGAAGATGAAGACGAAGATACTTCCCAGCCATCTCCCAAAAAATTCCGTACGAGTTCCACCGACGAAGAGAATCCGTGCCAACAGTGCAACAGAACGGACCCGGACGAACTGTTCCTCCTCAGCTGCGCCTCTACTTTGAAAAGGTTGAACTCGAAGCAAAACGCCGTCGCTCGCTTAAAAATCCAACAAGTTTTATACGAAGCCGAGTTTGGTACCCAGATGGAACTGCCTTGCGTGACGCCAGCTAGCGACTGCGATTTCGACAACGTCGATGGAACAAACGGGGATGAATAAACGACAGCTCACGATCACATAATATTATATATATTATAAGGTTAAACGATCAATTGTCTCGAGGAAATCAACTGTGATTAAAAATCCTAAAAAGAAAATAGGTACACCGCCTTGGGAGTCTTGGATATGTACAATATTGACTAGGTGTTTCAATCTAGCTTCATTTCCACGTCCCGAGAAAAATAATCGAGACTCGATGAAAATGAAAGACTAGGGAAAAACGGGACTTTCGAGACTATTTTAAGAAGTAGTTTTCCATTACGCATTTACGACATGATATTTACTCGTTTAATAAAAACATAAATTATTTATGAAAGTTTTTATTTCACATTACAGTAGTGGACACGTAACGAACAAACAAAAGGGAGTTTAATATAGTTAATCATTGGTTTCAGATAGAGAGGACCTGGTTTTATTACTATCGTTCTCTCCACAAATTTACTGAGCTCCACTGTACAGTTCTGTCATGTAACCAGAACAAAATAAATACTCTTATTGTACTTTAGTAGATTAAACTTATTTTTAGTAGATTAGACTTAAGTCTCAAAAGTTTCCATATTCCCGAAACTGAAAATATCAATCTCGATTCTCGAAAATGCAAAAAAATGACCAAGACTCGACATTCTCGGGGCCGCAATTCCCGGAATGAAAGCCCAAATATTGACTGAATTAACCATTAAAGGAGTCACCAGACTTATCAACACCGAATAGCATCCAGAGTCCATGTAATTAGATTCTTCTTACCGTATCGATGGCATACTCTATAATGTTTACCATTGTGATGAAATTATTTGCCAACCGTCGCAAGAAACCGATTGTTGCCCAGTGAGCGCCAGATGTACTGGAAAGAAATGGTATTGTACGGGGAGGCTTCTTTCGTATATTCTATAATTACAGTGAAAACGCGCTTCGTATCGGCGAGCCGAGAAAAACTGTGTACCTATGCCTTTTTCGGTCAAGCTATTAATAGCAAGCGTTAATAAGTAGTTAGTAGATCCCTGAAGTAACGTATAAGTTGTATGCAATACCTTTTACAATGCATATATGCAGTATCTCTCCTGCTCGTAGTTTAAAAATTGATTGATCTGTAAGTTTTAGGGCGCTTTCAAGTTAGACGCTTATGCAGGATTATTTGTAAAATACTTACTAGACGTGTGTCGATCGTGATCGATCGAATTAAAATGGTTCGAACAGCATACGTGACCCGACAACCCGGCTTACTAGCTTCTAAATAACCCGATCATTTAAGAGTTTCATGGGTCATGCGCGCAATATTCGACTTTATCACTACAATTTTAGAGATTATTCAACAATTCAGAATATTATTGTTGTCTCGTTTACTCTCACGTGAAATCCCCTCTCACGACCATAGATCACGACACGGTTCGCCTACTCACTCTTCGTTTTGGTCGAACATTTGTTCAATAGAGCACTCGTTCGATAGAACCTTCGTTCGATCGAACCAAAAAGTCAAGACATCGATCAACGAGTCAACAGGTTAACGGATCAATGAGTCTATCAATCATTTATCCTAATTGCTCCGTGGCGTAGTGTCCATTACATGGTAATTTTGTAAGTTTAATCCGTTTTTCGGTAAGTTGTGTTTCAAATTCAAATTCAAATTCAAAATAATCTTTATTTCATAGGTAAGCATTATTACACTTGAAATCGTCACAATGGTTAAACTCTACCGCTCATTCGTAAGGCAGATTCCCCTAAGAAGAATGAGTAAGAAACTCTAGGGGTTGCTCTTTGTAAATAACATTTACAATATTTTTTTATTTGAAACATCAGATTGAGACTACCTCCATGAGCTAAACGGGTTACTACCACGGATTTTTGTCATCCAAGTACGCAGAAGTTGTATAATAACCTTTAGTATAAAGTTTTTGTTTCACTATAGTTTTAAACCTCGTGAAAGGCAAATTTTGTATATCAACCGGAATCTTGTTATAGAAGCGTATACATTGCCCCTTAAATGATTGTTTGACTTTGTGAAGACGACTATCAAGAAAAGAATTTATTTATGAGTGCACTAGCTAATATTAATGAATAATAAATTAGTAATTTTGAATGCTCATAAGTTTTTTGTTATGTATATTTGTTTTGTAGGTGTTACTTTTATTAGAAAGAAATTTTAGTTTCCTAAGTGTAGTTTATCAGTGATGCATTTAACTATACATTACTCATCAGCAGGAAAAAATAAAAGCTAATTGTATAATTTGACACTTTTAAACACCATATCGAACCACAAAAGATCGAACATATGATCAAATCATTTGCATCATCACATAACGCACGGGTCGCAATCGACCCGGGTTATCAAAAATTATCAACAGACCAAGGTCTAAAACCTTCAGGACTATATTACTAACATCATAAACAACAAATTTTATTCCATGACCTTTTAATAAATCAGTGATTAGAATAGGTAGTTTATTTACCTTAACTTTGATAAACAGAAACAGAAAGTGGAGACTGCCTTACGACTAAATTTGTTTGTCCCGGATTTTTTCGAGATTTGGGAATTCACTTAGGCACATAAAAAAATTTCTTTATTTGGAATAGGTAAATAGAGTATATTTTTAAAATGGAAGTAAATTATTATTTATCAAAATTTGGATGTTTTTGTCAATTTTTTTCGACGAGTGTAGGGCATCGGGCACGACGCTATAGCTTACTCTTACCTTAGACTATTCCTTTATTTTTTCCATCCTCTAAGGATCGTATTCCAGAACTCTATTCAACGCTCAAGTCAGGACTTGAGTATGATTTTAAGCACTAGTAATCATGCTCAAGTCCTTGCCATTAGGGTCGTATTCCCAGTGTTGAAATCATCCTCAAGTCCTGACTTGAACGTTGAGTAGAATTCTAGAATACGACTCATAGGATCGTATTCCAGAACTCTACTCAATGCTAAGTCAGGACTTAAGTATGATTTAAAGCACTAGTAATCATATTCAAGTCCTTGCCATTAGGGTCGTATTTCCAGTGCTTGAAATCATACTCAAGTCAGGATTTGAGTATGGTTTAAAGCACTCGAAACCATACTCAAGTCCCTGCCATTAGGGGCGTATTTCCAGTGCAATCCTGACTTGAGCATTGAGTAGAGTTCTAGAATACGACCTTAAGACTCTTCCTGCCAAATACAGAACTAAAAAGTGTCAGATAGCATATTTTTGGTTTGTTGCGTAAAAAGTTATTGAACTAAAATTGTTGTTTATGATGTATGTAATGTAATCTCACGAGGTTGTCAGTACCTATCTTAAAAATAACCCTGTAGGTGACGCTATAGTGGCGCCATGGTGGCGTTTAAACGAAAACCACTTAAAAAGTTTGCTTTTTAAAATAAGCACTTAAGCACGCTTTTTACTATATGCGTAAGCGTTGGTCAGTTGTATACTCAAAAATTTCATTTTTTACATCGTGCCTAAGTTTCAAGTCCCATCATTTATATTTCTTAAACAAATTAATTCGTCAATGTGTATAATAATTTCATAAATTAAAACAAAACGTGTGTTTTACAAATAAATTTACTTATCTTATAACCTTTAGTGGTCTACACTTGCTTTTCGCTATCAACACAAAGTTGCATGCTTTTTTAACATAAAAGTCTATGCGCTTAAACTTTTTTCTAAACGATTTTTTAAGCTTCAAACTAAAAAGCGTTTAAGTGAAAAGCATCTAAAAAAGCACGCTTTTTTAAAAAGCTGCAACGTTGAAACGTTTGTAAAAATAAGCAGTTTTTCCCATCTCTTCCCTCCGCACTACCTATATTCATACATCAGAAGCGCAATTACAGCGCCACTGTCGTGACACATGCACGCCGCTTTTGCCTTCACAATCATATTAGTGAACTAAAAATCACTGAAGCTATATATCATTCATTCATTCATTTTATTTAAGAGCCATGCTCTTGTCGGTGTAGCCTCCTCCACCCCTCACGGTCATATATCATTACTGAACGTAAAATTTTATTCTCTACACGTCAAAAAAACCGTTGGTAGAAAATTGTAAGAAACAATCAAAAGATATCTTTAAATATCTCTAAACTTTAACTCAAAATGAGACACATTTTATGTCAGCTAGTTCTGGCCAAAATAATCTTTATTTAAAAAATAAAATTATTTTTTCCATTTCATTTTTAAATATATACATATAGATTAAATGTTTATTGAATTGATATTCAATTATTTTTTGTGAAATTACTCCACTAGTTTGTTATAATTATTAATACATATACATACATTTTAATGATTTTTTGAGGGAAGTGAGTAGTTCGTTTTTCGTCGATTCTGAAAAAGTCGATACACGCGCGGCTGCCGCGTCAAAGTGGCGCCACTGCAACGTTTCCACAAGCGTCTAATCTGTAGACACTCTTAGGGTCGTATTCTAGAACTCTACTCAATGCTCAAGTCAGGATTTGAGTATGATTCAAAGCACTAGAAATCATACTCAAGTCCTTGCCATTGGGGTCATATTTCCAGTGCTTGAAATCATACTCAAGTCTGCTCAAATCCTAACTTGAGCATTGAGTAGAGTTCTGGAATACGACTCTTAGGGCCGTATTCAAGAACTCTACTCAATGCTCAAGTCAGGATCTGAGTATGATTTCAAGCACTGGAAATACGACTCTAATGGCAGGGACTTGAGTATGAGTTCGAGTGCTTTAAACCATACTCAAATCCCGACTTGAGCATTGAGTAGAGTTCTAGAATACGACCGTGAGGTTTTTATGAAAATTAATGCGACTCTAGGTAAAGTGCTATGTGTAAGTGTTTTTATAATAAAGCCGATATACATTTCTATGTTGTACCATGGTTGTACCAAGTGAAAATCCTGTAAAATTTACACAGGTCAATTGTGTTTTACCTATTTTTACCAAATATGCTTCCATTGGATGTAATAATTAAAATTAATGTGTTACCACAATTGTATATGTATGTACGATAGAAGTAATAAAATTGCGTCCACGACAATATTCTTTAATTACGTACCTGGATACCGCTTTTTCGGTTAACATACAATAATGTAATCTTTTAAAATTAAAATGAAACAGTAATCTAGAGCTCCAACTAGGTAACAATTTCGTTTATTTCTATTTTTGTTTCTTTTTAGAAAAGTTGTTTGTTTTTGTTTTTTTTTACATTTTTTAAGAGAAGTATAGTTAAATAGAAGAAATTGTGCACTTGTTACAATATTTCATACATTCAATTCATGTAATAATTTCAGATTCAGAACCATTTATTTGTCAAATAAAATATTACAGTATAAATTGCACTGCAAGTCAAAGTATTAGAACTTATATTGAGATCGTCAAACAAAAA